CTTCCTTGATTCTTCCTTGCAGTCTGACTCTCAGACCTTATCGCTTTCCTGTTAGTGACTAAGAGTCTCTGTTCCTCTCTTGGTCCTCCCTTGAATGATTCCAGCCCCATGTCCTGTAACTGAAGAGCCCTATTCCTCTTCCAGGAACAAGGAGAGGTCACCAAGCAGCTGTGCTGCCCTGGGGAGCTGGCAGCTATCTAAATGTCCTATACTAGTACAAGAACCACAGTGACCTGGTCCTTCCCCAGGGGATGTGTTTAACATCACTGGCACAGGGATCACTGCTGACTTTTTTAAAAAGAAGGAATGAACAGTGACATATTCATATCATATCTAGAAGTCAGGAATCATCTTAAGACTGAGGAGAAATGAAAACTCAACAGAAATTAAGCGTGTCTTAAATCTTTCAAGAACTATCATGTCTAGACTGATCAAATTCAAGAAAACCACCACTGGGACAGAGTTAGAATCCCCAGGCATTTGAGGTTCAGGGAGGCAGGCAGAGAGAGGACAGATGCCCAGTGCCTGACCCTGAGAACCTGACTGGTCAGGTTCAAATGATAAAGAGACTCGCAATGGCCTGTCAGGAACAGCATGGTGAAGGATGAGCCCCCGGGTGGCCAGGAAACCAGGCATGGCCACTGCTGCTCACCAGGCCACTTGTCAAATGTGTCACTGAGTAATCCGCACAGAGGAAGCTGGGAGAGGGCCAGGGCTGCAGCCAGTGGCACCCTGCAGTCCAGGAGAAGGTCTGAAATTACAAGCTGTCCACCATTAACAAGTAATGAAATCAATTTCCTGGGGCAGGTCCAGGAATTTTACAACATGAAACCAATTAGAAAATATCAGAATGTATCAGATATAATAAAGGCAAAGCTATTGTTTTTATTAAATTTTTGCTGTATGCACAGTAACAGGCTCATATACATATCTAGATAAAATGAAATGCTTATTTCCTATACTCTACAACTTTATTCTTTTTCCTAAAAGGGATGAGAAAATAATTACTGTATGAAATAAATCCATGTTACATGAAGAAAATTGATGTTGGGAAATATTTTTCCATTGTTACATGATTTTGTTGCCAAAAACACTGAGCCTCTTTTTTAAGAACTCTAATATGTGCAACTTAAAATAATTTTCCTGTTTTAAAATCTTCCAAATGAAGAGGTGCAGCAGGTTCTGCACATTCAACATAAAATGCAACCTTTCAATTCATTTGCAATAACTGACTGACATCAAGAAAGATGCAAATAGCCAAATAAAAACTTCTGCATAGTGGGCATGATTTTAAACTGAAGCTCCTTACTTGAGATTGCAGCCAATGATCTGCTTCTTCCATTTGGATCTACACACCTTTGTGAAGTTACATTTTTAGCTGTAATGGTCATTATAACTAAGCATTGAAATAAAAAATAAAATCACTGTCCCTAAATTGTTATCCTAAGATTTAAAAAAATAAGAAAGTATATTTAATGTCATGGCTCTCAATGAAAATATTACTCATGTTTTTTGGAAGGATTTTGTAGCAGTAAGGATTACTTTTCAGTGTCTTCATATGATAGTCTTTCATATTTCTACATTTTATGGATTTTTACAAATTATATAGAAATACTACTGTAATTTACAAGTATCCTTAAACTACCAACGTAGTAACAGTGTGTAACTCACACATTTACTGCTGGAGAGACACAGTTAATGCAGCCTGGAGAGCGCTGTCCTAGGTGAGAGAGTGACAGTGGTCAACACACTCCTTCCCTCTGTGTCAAATGAAATGGGGTCAACAGCTATGCCTGACTCTTATTTAGGCCAAGGGCTTTTGGAAGACAGAAGGGCAGACACTGATTTGATTTCTACAAATATTGCTTTAAAAAAATCTTTATAATTTTATATTTCTTTTACAAAGTAAATAATTATATGAAAAAATACAAAGTAAAAGGTAAAAGTCTCCCTTAATGCAAGAGGTTTTGCATTTTGATTTAAATAAAGACAATTTTAAGTGTTGGTTTTAAAAAGGAATGATCATGGAAGTTTTTTCCTAAAATACTAAGAGTTCATCTACGGCACAAACCAATGAAATATGTAAGAAATTAGTTTATATTTTGAAAAGTACAGAAAAGATGTTTTTATTGTCTAATAATCCCATACTAAACAACTCAGGGAAAAAGTTTCCACTAAAAATAGGAACTGATTATTTCTTGTGATGAACAAATATGTATTTCACACAATTCCCTAATGAGAACCAAGGAAATGGTGCCTTTCTTTTAACATGAATATTTCTGAATGCAGTTTCTAGCTGCCTTGAACAAACTCCCTTCTTTTGTTGCTACGTTTCTGCAAATCTCTTCCAGATCCACTGTGGCTTATGACATTCTATCCAATTAGTTGTCAGCATAGTTCCTTTTACCTTCACTGCAATGACCTTACTTTTGCTAAGATGATTTCGTGCAATCAACCTGTTCAATTAAAGCTATACAAAAAGCTATTCTCAAAAACCTACTGCTAGGCAACAGAAACCTGTTAAACTAAATCTCAGGCAAAAAACATTTCTATATAGAGATGAGAACGATTGTAGCCACTTCACACAATAATTAAATATAAAATAAAAAATAAACTTTGTTAAAATTTGTAAGTATAGGTAAACACACAAAAGTAACTTAAATGAGTCTTTTCACATGTACGTATATGTGTGACTATGTACTGTATGCATATTTAGCATACATGGTAGATCCCCAATAACTAGCTGACCTAGTTTAATATGTTTGCCCAGCCCACCTATGTCACCTTTGCTATGAATCTGAGAAGACAGTATGGAATGTCAGTGTTGTGTGTTTTCAGGAGAGCACAGTTATTGCAAACCCTTTGCAGTTAGTTGCTTTGAAGAGCAACAAATGAAGTGAACTCTTACGGTAAAGGCAGAATCGTTTATTATCCTAAATTCACAACTAGGTTAGATTTTGAAATACGGGCTTTGTATTGTAAACCAAACTAAAACATTTCATCCACATTTATTTATCTTTAGGGGGAAAAGTTTTGATTGGAAAAAGGCTTTTAAGGGCTGACAAAATTCATGAGAAGAGTTCCTCAGGCTTCTTAGAATCTTAATTCTTAAGAAACAACTTTGATGAGTTCATTGTAAATGAATCAGAAACACATGGATTAAATTTCCCCTTAAACAAACACTTTAAAAAGGATTTAAAAATTAAAGGAAATATGTTTAGTAAAGTATATTTGAGAAATGTTACAAAACATATTTCGAAATGTTTGAAAAATAGCTTGAGGTATTTTACAAACCCCAAATGAAGTTCAATTCATCCACCTCTACGTAATAATTACTAACACTGGAGTTTAGGATTTTTGTTATGGAATACAGTAGTCATACCATGGTTACTTGTTTAAAAAATTATTTAAGATGTAGTGACAGGCGTTTTGAATATTCAGACAAGATTAGGGGCGTTCAGTTGGCGTGGCCATGGTCAGTATTTTGAACATTCAGAATTAACTTTGTTCTGGTGCTTCAAAGTTGGACAGTGAGCCCCCTCCATGACTTGGTGATGCTCCGACGACAAGTACACGTCCAGCTAAGGACTCTGAAGCTGTCACCCACTCAGCAGAGGACTGCTGGAGGTTCCAGGAATAAACGTAACTGTTAGAGTGCTATGCCACCTAAGTTGTTGGCCTATGATTCATGGGAATTCTTAGAATGATCAGTTCATTTCATTAAGCGTTGCCCTTAAAAACAATAGGTATATATTTGCACTCTGATAGAGCAAACAGGAGCCAATAGTGTCAAATTCATTTAAATCCCACAAGAGCCCTCTTTTCTTGCCTTATCAACATAGATTCTGAAACAGAACCTATCACAATAGTCTACCTAAAAAATCTGACCAAAAAAGCAGTAAGAGAAAGGGAAGATTAAAAAGTGATTCATAACCTCAGAAAAATGGGTGAATGCAACATTTTAAAAATTGAGTGCCTTTTGTGTGTTTTTAACATTGTTGAGAGTAAGCTTAGAATATGGCAAAGGAATGGGTTCTGAAACTAAATTGACCTAGGTTCCTATCCTTCTTCACTTCTTAGGAGCCATTCAACTAGAGCAAGTCACTCTATAAGCCTCAGTTTTCTCTTCTGAAGAAAAAGAATAAGAATAAATATATCTTTTAGGGCTAATGTATGAATTTAGTAAATAAAAGTATCTAGCACACAGTAAACATTATGTTAGTTCCAATCCTATGATGTCAACTTATCTTACATTTCTTATTTTTAACCATCAGCTCGGGTAATTGTCTGTATTGGTACCTGCTGCAATCTTAAAGGTCCTTAATAAATGTTTTGCCATCTGACTTGCTTTTTTTTTTTTTTTTTTTTTTTTTGAGACGGAGTCTCGCTCTGTCACCCAGGCTGGAGTACAGTGGCCAGATCTCAGCTCACTGCAAGCTCCGCCTCCCGGGTTCACCCCATTCTCCTGCCTCAGCCTCCCGAGTAGCTGGGACTACAGGCGCCCGCCACCACGCCCGGCTAATTTTTTGTATTTTTAGTAGAGACGGGGTTTCACCGTGTTAGCCTTGATCTCCTGACCTCGTGATCCGCCCGTCTCGGCCTCCCAAAGTGCTGGGATTACAGGCTTGAGCCACTGCGCCCGGCCGACTTGCTTTCTTTAAGCCTTGTCTGCAGCACTCTTCAAGATCAGAAACGGATATAAGTTCTGCTTCCAGGTCAGAATACGATCTTGAACATATATTTTTAAATTTTCATGAGTTCAACTCTTCACCTGTAAGATGAGGGGACCAAGTCATTTGCTCTTAATTTCAGCTCTCAATGCTGTAGGTTGCTGGTGAGTCTCTCAAAACTTACAGGGGAGGTCTTAAGAAGATATCAGAATAGGTAAAACTAGGAAAGAGTTGCCCATCAAGCTTTTCTGAGTGTAAAAAGGATAAGAAGTAACCACAGAGCACATGTTCTCTCTCCCCTGATCCCTTTCTGCCCTGTTCTGGGTGTAGCAGGAGCCAGAGGAATGCCCAGGTGAAGCCCCACGTCTGCCTGGCCAGGTGCAGTTGAAGTGGTGACATCCAGCCAGGGAGGGGGAGGAGCACCTGAGACCAGCCTCCAGCCTTGGGGCATCTGTTGTTGGAACCGGCCAGGTGAGACTTGCGCCCACCCTGCCTTTCTGCTTATCATTAGAAAGGTAGCAGCTGATGCTGGGAAGGGACGAAGCCAGGCAATGCTTCTATCTTCCCTCACGATTTCTAGTTAAACTCCTGGCATCTCTGGGCAAACACTCCAACACTGCGCCATGCTCTGCCATGGGAGCCAGGTCAGTCACAGGTGGCACTGGTCATATGCACTGGAGAAAGGACTGCAGGGAGAGTGGGAGGGCTCTAGCCACAAATGTCTCCTGTCTTGGTCCCACTTAACCTAATTCTTTTTCTTTATACCTCCCAAGAGATCGACACCTCCCTCATGGTCATAGGAAGAAAACCGGCTGGGGCCATGGAATTAAATTGTTGCTAGCTCCCTTCCAGTTGTAAATATTACACAACTGCATGGCACCATAATTATGCAAAAATATCTCCTTCACACTTGGTCCATCAGGAGCACTTCTGGGATCCAAAGATAAAGCTAAAAAGGCCACGGAGAGCCCAGAGAAACGACACACAGCATTAGAGCCCAAGAATAGACCTCCCCACCACTCCTCATCCCTAAACTGCAGTACTCATTCACACATGATGCTAACAAGCCTAACAACTATTTCTCTAGGTTCACTGAAGACTGGAAACAGGACATCGGAAGAGGAAGAAAGGCTGGTAAGAGACCAGTGGAAATGTTATAAAAGCAAACATGAAAACTCAACGACCAGTCAGTGAGACAGATTTAAAAAAAAAAAAAAAAAAAAAAAAGGCCCTCCTACCCCTCCACTAATTGCAGAGAGTGGCATAAAACAAGGGACTGACCTCATAACTGAATCCTGAAGAAAAGGGTAAGTTCCAATTCTTCAGTTTACAAACTCAAGGAACAACTGTGATACGGTTTAGCAAAGTTTCAAATTGATAAGCGCATGAAAAAATGTTCCACATCATCTGGAAACTGCAATGGAAACAACGAGGTACCGTTATACACCTATCAGTAAACCTAGTGAACCAGCTGTTAGGCTTGTTAGCATCATTATTGCTCTTAGAATGGCAAAACCCAAACTACGGACAACATCAAATGCTGGCGAGGATGTGGAGCAACAGAAACCTTTATTCATTGCAAGTGGGAATATATAATGGTACAGCCACTTAGGAAGATAGCCTGCTAGTTTCTTATAAAACTATACATACTCTTACCATACGTTCCGGCAATCACATCCATAATTACTCAAGTAAACTGAAAACTTATGTGCTTGCAAAAATCTGCACATGAACGTTTAGAGCAGCTTTACTCATAATTGCTAAAATTTGGATGCAAACAAGATGTCCTTGAGTAGGTGGATGGATAAACAAATTGTGGTATATCCAGACAACAGAGTACTATTCAGTGCTAAAAAGAAATGAACTATCGTGCTACAGGAAGACATGGAGGAACCTTAAATGCATACTGCTAAGTAAAAGCAGCCTGTCTAAAACGGCTACATCCTATACGATTCCAACTATATGACATTCTGGAAAAGACAAAACTAGAGAGTCGGTAAAAAGCTCAGTGTTGCCAGGAATTGGGAGGCGAGGGAAAGATGAATAGGCAAAGCACAGGGAATTTTTGAGCAGTGAAACGATTTTGTCTGCTGTCGTAAAGATGGATACATGACATTATGCTTTTGTCAAAACCCATAAGTGTATAACGCAAAGTGAACCCTAATGTCAACTATGGACTTTAATAATAATAATGCATCAACATCAGTTAATCGATTATAACAAATATACCACACTAATGTAATGTAAGATGTTAGTAAGAGGAGAAACTGGGGCGGGGGTTGTGAGTAAATGGGAGCTCCAAATTTTCTGCTCAATTTTTCTGTAAACCTAAAACTGCTTAAAAAAAATAAAGTCTATTAACTAAAAAAAATTGTTTAGAGGAGGTCATACAGACTTAGTCATCTAGAAAATTCACCATATGGAACATCCACTTTGCAATGGTGCTACACAAGCAAGACAAGTGTATTGATTATGCCAGTTGGAATTAATTGAAAAAACACACATCTTACCTGCATCGACCTTGAAATTATTGGCGTAAGCATAGCCAATACAAAATGTCAGGTTTACAATACGTGATTTTATGAGAACAAAAATCTGGGGAAAGCCATTCCTTACTAGTGAGGGGTTTGTTGTTCCCACCGGTGGCAAGAAGTGCGTCCGTGACTATAGATCAAAATGAACCACACAGAAAGTGACGACAACCAACACTCTGTAAGTTTATTACCAAATATAACCTAAGCACAAACACAACTAAGCTAATGAGATTGGCAAAGTAGCAGCACAAAATGTAAGGAAAAACACATTTAATAAATACAACTTGGAAACGTCTTTTTCTTTAAATTAGGTTCAGATACTGGGAGACAAACACTGAAGCAAAAGTCTTAACAACGCACTTACAAGCCATCATAACGTGCAGTGATCCTGGACACTGTCCACTCACAACCATGCTAACGGGGGGCCACTCCCTGCTGCCGTACCATCATATGAATATACATTTGTCAGTGAAAATGTCACAAAAAATGTGACATTTGTCCAGGTTTGTGTGTTTTCATAAAGTTACTCAGGTTTTCAGAGAATGAACATAGGAACATGTAGGATCCACAATTTTTAAGGTCATCACATTAGTTTGTATTTATGAAACTATAAGAAAACAGATGTGTGTCATGTTTGACACTGCTGCTTTGAATGCAATACTTCCAAATAATGAAGCTGACCACAGCAAAGAAGGGAAAAGTAATTCAGACGTTTCAGAGAGGCCTTATTTGGAATATAAACGCTTTGCCAGGGAAGGAAAGACGAAATATTTTAAACAATTTCAAGATTAAAAAGGAAAGTTAATGGGAGGAGGGCAACAGCAGGAGGGGAGGACGTGCTTAAAAGAAACAAATCTGCACAGACGATGAGCCGAATTTAATTCAATTCACTCCTGCCTAAAACCAAGCCTGGTTAACCGAGGTAGACGCCGGGAATTCCACGCGCACAGACCAGGTTTTCCAGAGCGCACTATTTTGTCATCTCAGACATGGTGAAGTAAAGTGCATTTCATAGTTTCAGATAACCAAATGGGAGTCCTTTCATAGGAGGAAACCTCTCTATACTAATTCCCTATTTTTTTGTGCCAAATTTCCAAATATACAAAAACCTACACACTGCTGGTAATAAGGCAATATCCAGGGTTTTTTCATTTATTTTCTCAGGAAACGAGAAAAGTAAAATAAATTTTAGGACATTACCTAAACATCTTTCCTGTTTTTATGAATAAGTCACTGGGAATTCAGAAATAACATTAAAGCTAAAGAGCTGTCTGCAGCCAAAAAACCCAATAAAAATTCAAAGATCTATTTGTTAATGAGGTGAATGTTTAAAAATATACCTACTATCCTAAGAATTTGATTATTAAAATACACAATTTCCACATTAAGAAACAAATATTAAAAGCAAATGTCAAAAAAATTAAATAAGTACGAAAAGCCAAATTTAAAAGTATAAATAACTAAACTTACAATAATCACAACAGAGTTTTTAGCTTTCTGTAAAAATAGTTAGTGGAGATGAGACTAAAACATTTGAAGCTTAAATATTTTTATCCCCCAACATGTCCCCCAACTATAATTTCTTTTTTCTATTGTGACATATTCTTAGGTTCACATAAATATTATGTGCATCACAAATTAAGCGGTTTCTTAAAAATATACAATCAAAACCGTTTAAGAAAAAAAAGATACATAAAAGAGAATAGTTAGGACTTTTCCCTCATACGAGTTAAGGTGGCCTTTTCTTGGAAAAGGCCAGCATTCACCCTTAACATTTTATGCCTGTCATACAGAATATACCCTAAAGTGATTTATCATTAATAAGATAAAACTTATCTTAAGAGTGGGAATCCACTATTAGGCAGAGAAAGACTCAATAACCTAGGCAATATTGAAGCAACCAAAGTCCACTCACACAACATGAAATACTTGCCTAGGTCCTTCATTTTATCTCATGTTAGGGTGGGGAGAAAGTGAATCATAGCTACCTCAGCTGGTTACTGTTTCATGATTCTCATCACAGATTTAGCAGTGTATATAAAAACTTATTCCTAAGGAAGGAATTTAAATGAACTCAGGCTATCCAAAACTTAGAGTACTAACAATTTTATGTTCAACAGAGTCAGGCTACATAAAGCAAAGTCAAATAATGACAATCATACTGTAAATTTGGGTTGTACACACACATTTTCCCCTGGTGTATGTATATGACCATAGATTCACCAGGTATTGGTTTGCTTACTTTTTGAGCAATTCGTGCTCTAAGCCTACGTTTTGAGAGTGAAATATGACTTCCCAAAAACTGTGATCTCAGAAGCTGAAATTAAGCCCCAAGCTATAGAGCTAGACCACCATGTTTTCCCCTTCCAAAATGGCTCGGTATTGTGGGAGGCAGTGGTCAGATCCGAAAGTGTGTAGATACAGTCTGTGATGCCACCATCTATTGTCTACTTGGATCACTAGAAGGTTGCAGCTTCCATTAAAGAGGGGTTTGATATATTTCACTAATATTAATTTCCTTTAAAAAAAGAAATTATGGGGCAAAAGGTTTAAACATGTTATGCTTATAATAGGCAGCTTGGGAAATGGTAAAAATTGTTCATTAAAATAGATCTATAATAGTTACACACTATTCAAACAAATGGATATCAGTTCTAATTTCAAAACAGATTTAAAGTGCTAAAAGGAGGGGGAAACACTTTTATATATTATTTTTCCAAAGTGCAAACAGATTACTATGCCTCTCCATCAGTGATCTTGTTTCAGTAGTAGAAGCCAGAAGCTATATAGAGCCGTTAGAGAAACTGCCAAGTTGGAACTGTACTCTCTAGTCCAGCTTTGTCTTGGTCCACAGAGCTCCCACCCACTGTGTCTTGGACCAACCAATACACATCTACAGAATGTAGGGACTATCTGATCAGATATCTGCAAAGCAGACTTAGCTTAGTCCTACAGTCATTGTGCTGCAGAACTCAAAATACTCATGTTTTCAGAGGAATTAAAGGAGCCAAATATTTTTCCTTTGATAATGCATCTGCTACCGCAACACAGAATAACAAAACAAAACGAAGCAAAACAATTCAATCTCATTCTGGGTAAGGCAACACACTGTCTTCTGCAATAAAGACAGTCTGTGTGTGTGTGTGTGTGTGTGTGATGTACATTAAAAGGGCTGGGCAGAGTGGCTCACACCTGTAATCTAAGCACTCATTCTGGGTAAGGCAATGCACTGTCTTCTGCAATAAAGACTGTGTGTGTGTGTGTCTCATGCCTATAAGGCAACACACTGTCTTCTGCAATAAAGACTCTGTGTGTGTGTGTGTGTGTGTGTATGTATGTCTGTCTCACGCCCGTAATCCTAAAACTCATTCTGGGTAAGGCAACACACTGTCTTCTGAAATAAAGACTGTGTGTGTGTGTGTGTGTGTGTGTGTGTGTGTGTGTGTGTGTGTGTTGTACATTAAAAGTTGGGGCCACTGGGTAAGGCAACACACTGTCTTCTGAAATAAAGACTGTGTGTGTGTGTGTGTGTTGTACATTAAAAGTTGGGGCCAGGAGCAATGGCTCACGCCTGCAATCCCAGCACTTTGGGAGGCCGATGTGGGTGGATCACCTGAGGTCAGGAGTGCGAGACTAGCCTGGCCAACATGGTGAAACTCTGTCTCTACTAAAAGTACAAAAAAATAAGCCGGGCGCGGTGGCACCTGTAATCCCAGCTACTCAGGAGGCCGAGGCAGGAGAATGGATTGAACCTGGGAGGCAGAGAGGTTGCAGTGAGCCGAGATCACGTCACTGCACTCCAGCCTGGGGGACAGAGCAAGACTCCGTTTCAAAATAAAATAAAATAAAAATAAAATAAAATAATAAAATAGAATAAAATAATTAAAATAAAATAAAAGTTAAATAGAACACCTGAGGGATGTCTTTAAGATCCTTTAAGGGATTTGAGACATACAAAGCATTTACCATCCACTGATAGGGCAAAATGAGAAACAAGGGAAATACAAAGCACAGCTGACTCACTTAACATGGTAAAGATAAGCTCCTAGGAAGTCTGAGTTGCCAAATACTGAATAACTGGTATTAAAAGAAACACAATTACTATGTCATTATCCATGAATTCAGAAAAATAATTAAATGCACACCAAGATAATTAATACGAAACCCAGAAAAGGTCTCACTAATCAACTGTTAGGCTGGTGCAAAAGTAATTGCGGTTTTTGCCATTGAAAGTAATAGAAAAACCACAATTACTTTTGCACCAGCCCAATACAAACAAGTTTTAACAATCACAAGACTAATGTTTTAGTGATGGCTCCTACAACTTCAGGGGGAAAAAAGTACATTTCTGAATGGCAATCGTTTGCAAAATAATCTCAATGAAACTACTTATTTCTTTATTTTAAAAGTTAATAAAAGGAAACTTCTCTCAGTTTTTAGGAAGAATTCAATTACAATAAAATCATGATGTCTTATGATCTGGCATCTTATAATCTGTGTCTCAGAAAGAACGGCAATTTACAGCATCAGATGAATACTGGAGTTTAGAGTCAGACTTAAGTTATCTGAAAAGAACATAAGGCATTTATAGTTTTTAGCAGGGTAAAATAATCAATCTCTTTTTAAAAAAAAAAAACCTTCTTAGTATCTTGATTAAGTGTCCAAAAAGCTGTATTATTTTTAGTTTTAAACCAGTAGGTGCTACTCAAAACTGATAATTCAGGATGTTATCAAATACAAAGTTTTAAAAGCTTGACCATTAAAGCATAAATTGCCTAATAAGACACATGTAATCAAAAAAACTAACGCCAGGATCATTTACTTGTGATTGGATATATGCCATTCACTTTTTCTGGCTTCTTTCTAAGGTGTAATTCCTGCTGTATTGAGTGAGCATGTCAGATTTCTATCCTTATCTTACTGTGTGTAAAAGTTCTCAACCTAGACAAGGACAAATTTTAGAATTTTCATATGAACATCATTCATTATGTACAATGCTGTTTTGTTAAACTAGCTGTCTGGAATACTATAAAGATTTCATTTGTTTTGTGTTAGCCACAGAGAATGGACTTGTTTAGAACGCAAAAGTATTTATCTCAAATACTAAAATCAAATTCAACAAAAATCAAACAATGTTGGAGCTGAGAAAAATAATGGCTATACATCTGTTTGAACATATTGAAAGAAAAGTGAAAACACAGCCAGGCATGCTGGTGCGCACCTATAATCCCAGCAACTTGGGAGGCTGAGACAGGAGAATTGCTTGAATCTAGGAGGCGGAGGTTGCAGTGAGCCAAGATCACGCCACTGCACTACACAACCCGGGTGACAGAGTGAGACTCCTTCACACACACAAGAAAAGTGAAAACACACTTGGAAGTCTAGAATGAAGAATTGCATCTAATGCAATATTCTTCCCACCTTTCCATATTAAGTATAAGAAGCACCAGCAAAAAAATACTAAAGACAGAGAAATGACCTGGCAAAATGATTCAAATACCACAGAGCGTGAGAATATTCCTCAATAAAGCTCCAGACGTTATTAAGTAGCTAGTAGAATAAATGGCAGCGGGAGGGGAAGTAAAAATTCTAACCATATGACAGACTCCTAACAGTAAGTCATAAATTCTAAAGGTTTAATCAGTAAATTATTTCCTCCAAAATATACTGTCATTCTTCTCTTAACAATAAACACAGAGTGTGACACAAATCCAATTTTGATGTTAAAAGTCAACCTGTATAGATAGGTCCCTCATGTTGACAGAGCAAAGAAGTGGAAAAAAACAAAAAGAAAAACAAAGAAAAACAACTGCAAATGAGAAATAGGGGTATTTCTCAATCTTCTGTAAACAAGTTTCTAAAATAGCACACTGCTCCCTCTCTTCAGCCTCCCTGATAGACTGGCTTGGGTGTGCAATATCAATGCGGGAATACGTGGAATACCAGCACAAAGCGAGGGAAGGGAGACTAGCAAACTCTCGCCCTGAATTATTTCTCAACTACATTTAGTATTCTTCACAGTTTTAGATGCTTTTTTTCCTTTAGGTGAAAATCACTCCACTGAAAAAAATTCCAAATCTGTTTTTTAAAAATTGCAGGAATTTCTTCATATTTTATAAACAAAAATACCAGAAATTAAAGAGTTGACAGAAATTCAAGCAGATCCAAATTCAACCATCCATTTTTCATACTTCTCCAAGTCTGCAGCAGAGACAGACTTAGCAATTTTCTTTAGGGCCAATTCAAAGTCTCCTTTGGTAACAGGCATCTGAAGTTCCTCTTTAGAAAGCGCACGGATCTCTTCTGGACCTAAGCCATTGATACGCCGTCTCATTGCCATTAAAGAGGCATCCCTAAAAATACACCACAATCAGTCAACAGTAATTTTTGCACATGTTTTAAACACTTTCAATTGTAACAAAGTTATGAAAAAACAATCAAAAGATTATATGTTTTCTATGAGGCTTCTTAGAATTTTCCACTTAAGAAACATCCTGGGGGTTCGGCAGAAGTTAAAACAGGATGCAAATAACCAGAAACATGAAATGTACAGTTAATGAACCCTTAAAGTCTAAGTTAAGCTCAAACAGTACTGAATTATATTTTCCCACTTGCTCCTCAAAGACAGCCAAGAAGTTTAAGAAACCAAAGTCGAATTTTGAAATACTGAATTGTACACTTGGAAATGAACACGTGGCTAATGTTAAGATAATTCAAATCACAGACCAGTTTGTCTACAGCCTAAATAGAGGAATAAAGCCACAAATCACTCTCTCTGAAACATGAATATCCACATACAGTGGACACGGAATTCCCTACATGGAGTATTTGCAGGCAACTAAAGGCATAAACTCTGGCTTCTCTTGATCCCATGTGCAGCTCTTTTTGACCAACATAAATATGACCAACATAAATATGACCATCATGTGCAGCTCTTTTTGACCAACATAAATATGACCATCATAAATATGAAGGTATGGAAGAAAAGGATAATTCATAAACACAAAAAAGCTATTAGGAAGGCCAAGCCAACAAAAATGTCAAGTTCTTAAATATTTCACTATAGTAGCGGTAGAAACTATTGTGACCTTATTGTATGCCACTAAACTTGGATGCACATGGGAAAAATGCGAGCAGAAAAGGTGAGAAAAACAGATGCTACAGCTTTAAAGAAAGGCTACTACAGTCAATTTAAGTACAGTTAGAAAAATAAGGAAAAAAATAACTGCACAGAGTGACAGGAGGTGTCTAAAAATTATGATGTCGCTAAACTGAAAAAATGTTAAATGTGTATCTTCCCCAGCTTACACTGATCATTTTTGCTCATCGGCATGTGTTTAAATAATGCCAACCAAAACTAAATAATATTACTTTATGTTGATGTAGAAAGGCTCCAACACAAAGCTAAACTAATCTTAGGTTGTCAAAGTCGTTATCATCAAGTTAGACACAACAGTTGTTTTTTTTTTTTTTGCGACGGAGTCTCGCTGTCTCCCAGGCTGGAGTGCAGTGGCACCATTGCAGCTCACTACAAGCTCCGCCTCCCGGGTTCACGCCATTCTCCTGCCTCAGCCTCCCGAGTAGCTGGGACTATAGGCGCCCGCCACCACGCCCAGCTAATATTTTGTATTTTTAGTAGAGACGGGATTTCACTGTGTTAGCCAACATAGTCTCGACCTCCTGACCTCGTGATCTGCCTGCCTCAGTCTCCCAAAGTGCTGGGCTTACAGGCACGAGCCACCGACACAACAATTTCTTTAAAATCCAAAGATCAAAAACATAAGTGACCACTGCTATATAATTTTCATCTCACAATGAAGAATAAAGTTATATGGAAAAAAAAAAGGACAAATGGGAAACCATTTCAAAGAAATGGGTAGCTGCTTTCATGTCTAACTACACTGGGCTAACTACATTGACTTTAAGACTAGTCCTCCTGCCAAGTCTATAACTAATGTCTAACATCACAGATCATTAAAAAAATACCTGCAAACATTAGTGATGTCAGCACCAGAATAGCCCTCAATCTTCTCGGCTATATCTTCCAGTTGAATATCAGGATCTAATTCGACCTCACGAAGGTTGATCTTCAGAAGCTCGGCTCTTCCTTTTGCTGTTACAAGATTTTGGTGGTGTTGTTAGATGTTTTACTTTACAAATAATTTTGCTGAGAAATGACATATTAACATTCAGGGGGAAAAATGAGGCCAATGCAAAGAAGAGTCAATAACTGTGTATCCATTAGTATTATTACCAATTCACTGCATGACTCATGGAATCATTTAAATTCCTATGTGCCTCTGTAGCAGTAACTAAAAATTGAAAAAAACAAAAAACAAAAATCAAAAACAAAAACAAAAACCACCTGGGTTTTCTTTATAGACTGTGAAGATATCTACTATGAGAACAAAGAATCTGAGATCCTTCACGAAAAATATAAATATCAGTTTTCAGGCACCGGAAACGCTTCTCAAAAAAAAAAAAAAAAAAAAAACTTAGCCTGGTGTTAGAAAATTAGACTGCATCAAGTGTAACTCCTATGAATTACTTTGTTCACCTGTTAGTATGACATGGATCTCCAGAACTCTTATCAGTAGTTTAAAGAACATTTCCTGAAAATCAGTAATTGGCACAAAAAGCTCATTAATGTATTTTTTACTTGGAGAGCCAGCCCACAGACATGTGCTGTTCCAGTATGATTTAAATGTGAACTGAATAAGTTCAAACATACTCAGAATTTTTAAAATAACCAATCACACTTGCCATTTCAGTAGTGCTTTTAGTAGCAAATATGCTTAGCACAGCACACTAAGATAATGCATTACTAGTTTATCTGGCACTCTACTATTTCCTGAGATACAAAACGAAATTTAATTATCTTCTACTTTTATTTTGAAAAATGCTAAATCTACAGAAAAAGAAAATCAATGAATACCCATTTGCCTTTCACTGAGATTCACCAATTGCTAACATTTTGCCATTATCACTCTAGCTGCCTCATCTCTCCTCCCTCAACTTTTTGAATTGAGCGCTAGCTGTAGGCATCACAACACTTCACCTTAAATTCCCCAACATGTATCTCCTAAGAAAAAAGGTAGACATAACATTTCTCACCCTTATCAGGAGATTTAATACTGGAACATTAGTGTCTAATACACAATTCAAAGCAAAGTCTCCCCATTTGTCCCAAGCCTTTATAACTTTTACAAACCATAACACATTGCATTCAGTTACCATGTCTCATTCATCTTCTTTCATCTAAAACAGTTTCCCAGTGTTTACTTTTTGGTTCATTTTGTTTTGTCTTTCATGAAATTGACAATTCTCCCCCAAATGATCTTATACAGCCAACACATTCCAATAAAGATCCTCCTAAAAGGTCTCTCTGTAGAAACTAATGGGCAGATACCAAAACGTCCACAGAAATGGAAAGAACCAAGAACAGCCAAGATGCTCTGGAAGAGCAACAGCAAAGTGGAAAGAATTGCTCTATCAGATTTCAAGACTTACTACAAAGGTATAGGACTCAAAGCAGATTGACGCTCTTGTGGAAAGAGGCAGATAGATCAACAGTACAGAACGGGGTGCCCAGCAGCAGACCGAAGCAGAACTATAGACACTTAATTTATGACAAAGCGGTTCAGGCCGCGAGGGGAAGGAGTGTCTTTTCAATTAATGATGCAAGAACAGCTGACTATCCACAGCGAAAAAAATGAAATCGGGTCCTACATCATACTGTACCCAAAAATCAGTGCCAGATATATTACATCTAAACGCAAAGTTGTAAGTATTTTATAAGATAACATAGAAGAATATCTGAATGACCTCAGGGAAGCATTCTCAAGACATATATTTCAAAAACTCAACTAGGAAAAGACTGATAAACTGACCACATTAAAATGAGGAACTTCTATTCATCAAAAAGATCCTGTCAACACAGTGAAAACAGATGTTACAGAGTTTGAGAAGATATCTGTAACATACATAAGCAACCAAAGACTTGTATCAAGAATATTTCAGGAATTCCTAAAAATCAGCAAGAAAAAGACTACCCAAGAGCCAGAGTGCCTGGCTATGCACAGTGGGCAGACCCCAGTGCTTGCGTGTTCACGTACCCCTCACCGCTCTGTGCCTGGCTTGCCCTTGGCTGGCGTGGGATCAGGGCCGGTAGCTCTAGCCAAGCACAGCCTGCCAGGGCAAGTGGGCGGAACGCTGGGCTCAAGCAAAACTCCAGCAAAGGCGCCACCAAGGATCCTGCAACACAAGCACTTTGGAAGACACACTGAATTCATCTAATACTGCAGCCGTGCAGCACTACCTAGCAATTCACTCCTAGGACGGAATGCTCCATTCTGGCATGCTTACCACTATACATGTATGAAAATGTTCACAATAGTACTGCTCATAATAGCCTAAAGCAAGAAATAACTAAAATGTCCACCAAATAATATGATAGATACATTTTGATATAATCATATAACAGATGGTATGGGTTAAACCATGTCCCTCAAAATTTTTAGGCAACTCCTAACCCCCAGTACTTCAGAATGTGACTGTATTTAGAGACAGGAGAGGTAATTAAGGTAAAATGAGGTCATATGGGTGGGCTCTAACCCAACATGACTGGTGTCCTTACAAGAAGCAGCTATTAGGATACAAACACCCCTAAGAGGAAGACCACATGAAGACTACGGGACAAGACGGCCACCTACAGACCAAGGAGAGGGACCCCAGAGTGCAACCACCCTGCCTACAGCTTCGTCTTATGCTTCTAGCTTCCAGTACTGTGAGAAAATTAACTTCTGTTGTTTAAGCCACCCAATCTTTGGTATTTGTTACAGCAGCCCTAGCAAACGAATATGACAGAATACCAATCACACAGCAACAAAAATGAATGAGGTGGCATCTCTATGTGGTAACATGAATGAATCTTAAAATACATTGAACAAAAGAGGCAAGATACAAATGAACACAATCAGTGTGATTTCATTTAGGTAAAGTTTAAAAGGAGGTAAAACTTTGTTTGGGGATATACTGTTAGGTGATAAAATTATACGGAAAAGCAAGACATTCTCTCCATAAAAGGAAATCACTGTAAGGGAAAGGTGGGACCTCCAGCAGAGGGCAGGAAGGAGCCATGCTGGGACGGAGCATGCTGGGAGCTCCTGAGTTCCAGGGAGGCTCCACTTCTGGAGTGGGTAACAGGGCTGTCTGCTTTACCAGCTACCTGATACACTAAACGTTTTAGGAACTGTTTCTGTATTGAGTTATGTTTCACACACCACAAACACACAGTAAGACCAAGCAAAGCAGTGCCAAAAGCAGCAAGCAGGTGTGATTCGGGATTACCAGAAGACAGAAAGGGCGGGACTGGAAAACCTCTACCTCCACAATTCCCTAATCCCAGGAGCCCCTGTCCTTGATCCCAGCCAACAGGCTCACAGGGAGTACACCTGCTCAACATGTGGTTCAGAGCCAAAGAAGTCCTCCAGTCAGGCTGGTGGCAAGAGGGGTAGGGACAGAAAGCGGTGAGGGGAGGCAGCTCCTGTGTCTACTACTACAGAAGGCTGATGTGCGCCTGATGTCCAGGTAAGAACGGATGTTAACATGTGAGCATCTTTACACAATGTTCCACATACAGCCAGCGAATGCCAATGAACAAATACCCCTTTTCATTCTTACAGGCCCAATATTCGAATACCACTGCATATATAAATCAAACATTTCACTGTGCCTGTCCTAAGATCCTTAACACCAAGTTTAATATATTCTCCCACTGAAACAAAGTTCCAGACAGCCAACTTAAAATGAACATACATAAACCTGTTCATAAGTGAGGACCTGGTGGTATTGAAGCTTAGCAGGAAGCATGCTCCATTTCTCTAGTAACTATGATTGGCGGGGGGGACAAGTAACTGAAAACTGGTTATGTCAGTAATATTTTAGAATATTCTTAAGATTTACCGGCTCTATAAAACTGAATTGATATTCAAGAAGCTTATGAAAAGATTTAACAAGGGATTAACGTGTTGTTAATCATACTGTAACGAACTGCTGATCCTGTATCACAAAGTTAATACACATTCTAAATCTAAATAAATGTTGTTAGAAGTATCATACACTCCTTATACAACTTTTCTTGAATACACCAGGCAGTCCAGTGCAGGAGATAACAACTACATTCTGGGCCTGCCTGTCTGGGCTCTGGACTCACATGCCCGCTCTCACTTAGCCTCTGGGTCCTCAGTTTCCTAAGTAAATAAGAACAGAATCTACCTTACAAAGCTGTCATGAGGGTTAGGTGAGTTGATACATGCAAAGCCTGGCCGGTAAGTACTCAATAAATGTTCACAGCCCCCACCACCAGTCAATCAACAAATAGGACTTTGGGGAGACAGAAGTGTCCTTTTCCTGAGGGACATCTGGGAAATCACCAACCCAGATGAAACACTTGGGGACACGAGACAGGCCAGGGCGAGCAGACTGCATGATGTCCACATGCTGTAACGTCAGCTTTGAAAAATCAGTAAAATTTAAGGAGAAGGGAAGAGAGAACCTGGGAAATGGGAGTACCACAGATAACGACACAGAAGTAGGAAGAAGGACGCGTGCAGCAGAATGGCGGAAACATAGAAAAATACAATAAAATACTGAAAGATGCAAACAGACACAGATAGGATACATAAGATGTGAACTTGCAGTAAAAGGAACATACTAAAAAAAAAAAAAAAAAGGACTCTGACCCTGATGTAATAGGAAGTCAGAGTCACTCCGAGTTGAAAGGACTATTAATGCCTTGGTGTTCAGGAGGTCAGCCTAAAAGCAAAAAGAACTAAATGAAGGCAAGTTGAGAAAGGAGTACGTTGGGCTCACCAGGTAGTTGCTGCCATAATTTAGATGCTTAAAATGAAAAGAGCCTTAAGGTAAGGACATTAGAACTCACTTGTGTCTATTATTTTGCCTTCCGTTGACTACAGCAGATTGTATTTACCAAGACAGCAGTAACAGTTCTCTCTCATCCCACACCCATTTCTACGATGGGACCCTGCCACTCCCTAAACCAGAGGCAGTCTAATTTCCCTCCCCTCGAATCAGTGTGGGCCTGAGAATGTC